GCACGCCACTGCAAACGGCCACGGCCACGAGGGGCTTTGAGATCACAGAACAAAGACGGGGGTCTCCCACCCATCCGCGCAGATCCCCCGTCAGAGTTAGCTAATAAGGACCACACTACCCCGCTACCAGTAACAAACCGACCCGGGACCTGGAATTAAGGGTCATTATTTCTCCTCATTATGGACAGCCCATTGTTTTTTATCGAAGCAGTTTGTTACTGCAACGTGAAATGGTCAAAGGTTTTCCAGCTTCTTCACATCCTGCGTCAGCGACAAGAACCGTGCCATGCGAAGTCAATTAAGTTGGTTTTCTGACTGTTGGAATGAATCCGGCTTTAGGGGAGGAATAAAGTTTGAGGGCAGTAAACTGAAACAGATGGAGAGAAATGGAGTACAGCATATGATGGCGGGATAAAACAGGCGGGAAAAGAGGAGTGATAAAAGGATGGCGAGAGAAGGAAAAGGTGGCCGTGGTGGTGGTGGTGGTGGAGGGGGGGGGGGTTTGCAGCAGCCCCCGAGGGGTGCGAGGCGAAGTGAAAGTGAGTTTGTCTGAGATGTTTTAAAATTCTGGAGTGGAAGGTCCCTCCATCTGTTATTGTGGGGCGGTTCTGACTCAGTGATTTCTATGATTGGCCTTAATCCCGGCCGAGTGGAGAAGACAGAATGAAGAGCTTAAAGCAGACTGCTCTCACTCTGACAGGCTCCACTGGCTGCTGCTGCTGCTGCTGCTGCTGCTGGTGGTGCTGGTGGTGTTGGCGTTGGGGCTCATCGGTACGCTCGATGTGCTGCCCCCTAATGGACCAACTGCTGCACGACACTGCATCTCTCTGCTGTCAGCAAGCTGTCTTTATACATACAAGCTCAGTGGCTTACCGTTACCATTGTCAACGTCCACGGCAGCAAACCACTGTTAAATCTCCCACGGCTTCACCCTCGCAGCGTTGTGGCCCCAGCGGCGTCATTTCACAGTCTTTTGGTCCCCAAGGTGAATTGAGCGTCCCCAGAAAACTGAGCCGAGGGATCATTTGGAATATGTTGAGTACCCCGATTCAAGGGTACAATCACGTGCGCAGACTGCGTCGTGTTCTCTCGAGGGCCCTCGCACTCAAACACGCGCGTTGTGGGGCTGTGTTGGAGTGTCCCTGCAGAGCACACGGACAACAGTGTGGTGTGTCAAGTGCCCTTTAAGTGAATGCTCAGTGGAGGGGCCCGACCGGCTGCAGCAATCCGGCGGCCCGGCGTCGGCGAGTTGGCGTTCTCCGCAGCGTGACGCTGTCCGTCCCCCGTGTGCTGTATTCCCCCAGAAATAACATGACTGCGTGATTAAGCTGCTCCCCTCCGGAACAGAGCAACCTGAATAGTTATGAATATTAAAGATCCTAATCCCCTCATGCTGACTAATTATACGGCAGGTTCCGCTGTGTGTCGTTTAAGGCGGCGGACGTGGAGGTACTCTGCGCGCTCCTATCCGTTACATAGCGGCGTTCATGGTCCTTGACCTTGGCTGACAAAATGGCCCGACGTAATCCATTTTGTGTCAAGGTTACGATGGCAATAACACGAGAGCGCACGTGCTCGTGCCGTCGACTCTCCTGGCGTCTTTGTAGCCCGGGCGCCGTAGTGTTATTTGCGGCGTTGTGTGGGCCTGAACCGAGCTTATCTGTGCTGTACTGCGCTGATCTCACTATGCTCATCCAGCGTTCTAAGCTGCTTGGGCTCCAGCCACCGGCATAGATGATATATCCCTGCCCCCCGCCTTCCCACATCCCTCACTCTGATTCATTGGCTGTTTGCGTTGCCCATCCATCTGGGCCAACAGAGAGAACGGGAAAGACGCGTGAAGACACATTGGTGTTTTTGAGCAGGGGGGTACTGCATTATGCTGCTGGGGAGGAGATAGGGTCCTAGAGAAATGGTGGCCCACCAAGGAGAGAGGGAGGAAAAATACTACGGGACAAGCAGCTGGAGAAACAGGGCTCTGAAAATGAAAGACACGTGGGCTACTCGGGGGGAGGGAAATGGAATTTATCAAAGGACAAAGTAGAGATTTGTACTTACAGATTAAATACAGAGAGAAAGTCGTAGGGGCCGTGGGGTCGCTGGATCAAAAAACATGACAGGGTTGTGGAAAAAAGCTTTTTATGTCCCCCAAAAACAACTTTGCATATCATTTAAAAAAAAACATATTAAACATTCCAGCTGTTGTGACACAGATTGAAATCATTTGGCTTTTCTTCCAGACTAATCTCACAACTGGATTATTGTTCAACCCCTCAGTATTTATCCTTAATTGAAAACTGTAGCTGTTGATAGTTTCATCAAGAGATTACCACAGCGGTGCTGCCCTTTAGGAAGGCTGACCCTCTTTTAAGTAATTCAAATTACAGTTTTTTTTTTCTATTGGACTCCTTTGTAATAATTTATATGGGATAATTACATCCTCATTTCATTGTTTCAGCCGCATAATGTCTCATTAGGAAATTAAATAAATCTTATTGTTGTTGTTCAGTTCTTGTTCAGGTGATTAAAAGCCCAGTGCAAAAGCAAAACGACGCAGAGGACTTTAATGCATCCAGATTTTCACAAATTGGATTAGAGATATCAGTACGTACTTACTGTACAACAATTATGCTCCCCAAGCGTCCCCGTACGCGCCGCTGCAGCCTGAGCGGAGACTCTGGGCCCGGTCTGTGCTTGGAGGAGACGGAGCAGGTTTGTGTCCGTGAGTGGGAGGGTCAGCTGAGATGAGGGGGGGGGAGAAATAAGACTGCTTTGGCTATAGTGCATGTTAGTTTATGTCTCGTGTGTTTTTGGTAGATAAAATGCCTCCGTTGGAATGGGGCTGGTTCCTCCACTGAGGCACTCGGGTAGCACGGGTCTAAGCAGGGTTAGTAATTCCAGGGCCCCGGGCTCCTGGGACTTTACGGCTGATCATGCTATTCTGGGACAGGAACAAGATGGCCCCCTTGAGGCTTGGGAAAACCTAGATGCTGAGGCGCAAGAGGGAGGGCCGTAGAGGCGCCAGGGCCCAATCCACGTCTTACGACTCACGGACTTTGAGGGGCTCTCTCGCTAACTCCGTGAGGGTTTAGTTCTGTCCCACTGTCAAATCGGCGAGTGTTTGAGGGCTCTCTGGCAGACGTTTTAAACCCTTTATGAACCCTTTCTGTAAATCAGCATTACTGTGTAACTCCCTTTTCCCGAGGAAAATGCGACTTTGGACACGGAAAAACCAGTGGCGGCATGGAGACGTAAGGAAAGGACGACCCACGTGTGTGCAGAAACATGAAATCAGACCAAATGCACTACTTTATTCATCAAATATTACATTTTGACATTGTAGCTTTTTTGAAACATATTTTGAAATTACCCCTCATCTTATGAGAAACATATTTTGAAATTACCCCTCATCTTATGAGAAAAAAAGCCCGAAAGACGTTCCAATCAGGGAGTGAAACATATGAAACAAATACGCTCAATAGTACACCATATTTCTTTTTACGTTGTCATGGTGTCGTGACATGTGGAAGCAAAGTGCTTCCCCGTTTGTATTTACACCATTTCAAGCCCTTACAGACTCATACCCCGTGCAGACGGACTCTAGGTGACGTCAATTAGGTCCCTGAGGGTTCAGGACTTGGGGTTTGGGGGGGGGGGGGGGGCCGGGGGAATTGGCCTGGAGCTTTCACCTATTTGCCCCTTGGATGACTCCCTGGATGAGAAGCCTACATACTTTTTAGCTTTCTCCGAGATTAACCTACGGGACTTTATAGTAAAACATGTCCGGCACATTTTTAAGAAAGCTGCAGGGGCGAGGAATACTCATAGAAAATATTGGGTTTCTATTCTGACAAACCGATCGGGAGGCAGGACTCAGACGCAGAGCGGGATGATAGGGTGACAGTTTATTTCATACAAAGTACGAAACAAAATCCAAAAAACTAAGGACGCTCCAAAAGGAAGAAAACAGAGCTACTATCAAAAACTAACTGAGGCCCGACACGGGAACAAAAAAAAGCTCTAAAGAAAAATTACTGACACGAGGTGAAACGGTTATCACGAGACAAGCCGGACTACGGCTACGGACACTGCTGGTATGACGACGCAGGTTGACACACTGGCACAAGACAAAGAGAGATGCAGGCTATAAGAAGACATGGGGAGGAAAAGGGAACCGGTGGACACAATCGGGAATCAGGGGGGACAAGGAACCTGAAATGAGAGGAGAGTTAAACTTCAAAATAAAACAGGAAGTCACGAAAACCGACGTGGAGACAGGACAAAGACGCAACTAGACATACAGGTGTGACAATTTCATTACAAGTCATGGTGTTCTGACGTATCAGTGGCCAACATAAAGTCAATCGAACCATCTATGTTGAACGGTATTGTAATGCACATGTGACTCTAACGATTCGTTAGCAACTAAAGCTACGAATCAGCAAACATTGCATTGACGATATCCTGCTAATCTGAACTGGCATGGCTCCACTCCGGGCCCACTGGTGATCATTTCAACTGAGGCAATCAAAAAAATACTCAGACATATTATAACCTCAGCAATATGTAACAATAATTTCCCCATTCATTTACATATTTATATTAGTTGATTCATTCTGTAGTGTCTCAAATGTTAATAATTACATTGTTTTTTGATATACTCAAATGCAGATGCTCCCAACAGAACTCTCTAAACAAGGACAATTTGCACTTCTCAAAACATTTAATTTAATTTTGTGTTGCTAGTGGCACTTTACAAGCAGTTGTTGGCTTGTGATGCTAAACTGTAATTTGGACTGATTAAGGAGGAAGGTGTTTTGGGTTTTGGCGCTCCCTAATCCGTTGAATTATCCAGTTTATTCACAGCTGCACCACTTTTTGTAGGGAACAAGGTCACTGCAATATTTCCATCTGGTTTTCATGTCATACACACAAATCCATGTCCCATTGACTCCTGACACACACTCTGTTGTTTTGTCTTTTTTTGTGTTTCCTTGTAGAAACTGGCCAGGGAAGCGGAGCAGCTTCAGAAGGAGCATGAATGGCAAGACGGTGTGACGGTAAAGTAGGACACCCACTCCTCTCCCTCCTTCCCCGAGACCTCTTCCTTCTCTGTTCCTCTTCCTTTCCAGGCTATTTTTCTTTTGTAACTCGTATTCTACTCATAACACTTATTGACAATGTGATCAGCATCACAGAGACGATGTGGTGATGAAGCCTAAATTTATAGCAGTGGAAAAAACAAAAATACATATAAATCCAGTCTTAGAGGTACGGTTGCACATATATTTACATATATATATATATATATATATATATATATATATATATATATATATATATATATATATATATATAAATATATATATAATTGCTTACTCTTGGAGTTGTGCTTTTAACGGTCTTAAGTATTATGTGAGAGCCTTCTGTCTGTTTTATTTCACAGGATACAGCAAGAGAACATTGCATTCTCGTGCAGCCGACCTTTAAAACACAAGAGATCCGCTCTTGAAATCAAAAAAAAGAAATGGTATTATTCTGGTCTGTGTGTTTGACTGTGTGTTCGGGAGCTTGCGTGCTCCACTGACTCTCAAATTTGCACACTCAAAACACTCAAATGCCCCACGTACATGTGTGCATACTGATCCTTATGCACACATACACCCACAGACCCACACACACACACACACATATTTTATATATATATATATATATATATATATATATATATATACATACAGCCCCAGCAGACAGATCCAGACGCACAATCTCTACTGTCATATCCTCTGTCTCCAGGGAGACGAGCTCGCTGTCATGGTACACTTCCCACAAATGGATTTTTAACCCAGCGCCTCCTGGGGGATGTTTGAGAAAAAGATTTTAACTGATTATAACAAATAATTATGAGGCTTACTTCCCTGCGAAGTCCATTTTTTATTTTATGGTTGCTTACTCTCTTGAGCTATAGTGTTCCCGTGGCTGGGCTGCACCCTTCCCTCCCTGCTGGTCCGAGGGGAGGGAGCGGCAGTGCGGCCGTCCCTTCGTCTTAGGCCTGAGGGAAGTTAATGCCGGTTTCTCCCCGTCCGGCTCTGATGCACCTCGATCGGATGTTCAGCAGCCCGTGCAGGAAGTGTGGCCCTTGGTCACAGGGACCACACACAGCTCACCTCTTCATAAGTAGCTGCATCCAATAGGGCATCAATAACTCCCCAAGTGGAAAAGCCAGCATTCTCTTTAATCCAATCACCCCCACCAAAACCACTCTCTCCCTCTTTTTCCCCTTTCGGCTTTTATGTTTTCTATCTATCTGTATTCTGTCCAGTCACCAGTTTCACACCCGTCCTTTCCCTCTGCATCTCGATCACATTCATAAACCTCCTTTGTTATCTTCATGTGTCTTTAATCAGGCATGAAAATAGTTGGAATTTATCATATTTCTTCAAATACTGCAAAATAATCCTAATGGTTCTCCTCTATTAGTAATGCATTGGAGCTGATTTCATTTGCCTTTATAATTAGGCCAGGTAATGAATCTCAGCAGGGACGGCTCTGAAACTATTAAAGAAACTTCACGCAGAGGTGGGGGTTGGGGGCGTAGTAGACGTAGAAATGCCACATCCTCGCAAGAAGATTTCTTCCCGTTCATAGATTTTGTCCTTTCCTAATTTATCTTTAGGTGAGCACTCTGCTGACTGACACTCTAATTAGATTAGCATGCTCTTTGGGCATATTAGGAGAAATACATTGCATCTTAAACTAGCAGGTGGAGCAGTCTGTCAAATGAAGAGAATAGGTGTTTATGCATGGCTGACGGTGCGTTTTGATGGAATTTCTGAGTGGCTGACGGTGTGTGTATATGTGTGTGGTTTGTTTTTGCTTATCGGCGAGCGGGTATTTATTTGCATGTGTTTATTAACGGGAGGTTCAGTACCTGGCCCAGCCCATCTGTTTTCCTCGCCAAACTGGTGACATCATAGAAACTCAATGATACGCCTGATCCTCATAGCGGCTGCCGTCGCAGCTGTTAGCGTAGCATTGGGAAGACCTTCCTCCCCTGTTTTGCACACACACACACACACATTGAGGCTTTTTCCTTGCAGGAACTGCAGAGACGGTTTTCTGACCGCTGGACATTATGGATGTCAAAATGTTGAGCGTAACAACTGTTGCGGCGGTCGTTCAGGCTTTTAAATCCATTGGTACGAAATGGTGTGTGAAATGGACATTAAAAGTGTTGGATTGCTGCTGATTTCTCAAGGTCAGGTGCCCCTCCCTCTGTGACACTCGACTATTGTGTTGGCAACAGTATCATCCCAAGGCGACACAGTCATTTCAGCGCTGCTTTGCAATTCTCATCGGGGGGGAGGGAGACCAACGTCAGACCCAAATATCTAAACTCTCCTCTCTTTGGTAAACTGAAAATTGGGGTGTAAAAAGCAGCGCTGCAAAGCATTGTCATAGATGATTTCTTGCCTAAACGTGTGGACCTGATGAGTGACTTTAGTGTTGAGTTGTACCTGGATTGGTTTCTCTGATACAGTTGGGATTTATGTAGAACCTTTGTTCAGCCCAATTTTCCTGTTCTACTTCTACTGGGTTGAATTTCATGCTGGCTCCTTTGAAGCTTCCACAGATATGGCGGCAAATCACTGTCAAAATTCGAGATCGCAAATCGGGTTGATGCGCGCGCGTAAATCAAACATCCGCGAGCAAATCTCCGTCTCGCGCGAGATATTTGCTCCATCGCGAAACGTGAACTTCCTCCTGGTAAATGATGGTTGTAGCTGGTTGTCATGTCCACTACGATTCCCGAAGGGGGGCGTTTGTTTTTTGACAACGTTTTATCTCATAATTTCGACTTTCTATCCCCTTTCTTCAGTGCGGAAATGGGCTTCTATAGTCGTGTGAATGCATCACTCCAGCAAATCCAAAGACAGGGTTTGTAACCAATCAGGTGTAGAGACCATGGTGACTGGCTCCGCCCCCTTACTGTCAAAAAGAAAAACAACGAGCGCGTAGAAAACACCTTCGAGCGCGAGCAGAGATTAACCTCGCGCGAGATGAACTTTTGCTCGCGCGAGACGGAGATTTGCTCGCGGATGTTTGATTTACGCACGCGCATCAACCTGATTTGCTCTCTCAAATTTTGACAGTGATTTGCACAGAAGGCATCATACGCAGGGGCAGTCGTTGTCATGGTTTGCATGTCATCCATGTGGGCCCTGATGGGCCGTAGACGGACCCCGGACTTAAACAGCTTACCACCCACTACCCACTTGGAGGCCCTCGTGATTTCGATCACCGTGGTGAAAACCAATTGAGAGGTGGTACGCATTGCCATTATGCTAATGTCTTCAGGTCTCCTCCATTTCTCTTTGCTTTTGTCTCAGGTCTCTGTTTATACTCTCCAATTTTCTTTTCTTTTTTGATGCTCCAGGCCATTTTGTTTTGGGTCTGATTCTGCTGATCTTCTCCTCCATTACTGGTTGTCTTAAACTGCCTCAATAACTAATGTTCGAGTTTCCTTCCTGGCTGATGTCTTAACTTTATTCGACTGACTTGACACCCAAGGCAGTCACCGGGAGATCCCCAGGTAAATGTTCTCAAATATTCAGGATGTTAAAATCCAAAGCGCCACCTCTTAAGTTCTTGTGTTCCCATGGTGATGGTAGGTTCACCAGTTTTGAAAAAGGCAGGGGCAGACAGTTTATTGAGGTTGCCAAGTGGGCTCTTCCTTTCATCAAGGCCGACTGGGCCCCACGTTCTCCGATACTCTCAGTGATGCGTCCCAGAACCACCACACTGTACATCCGCCTAGCCGGCTTAATTGACTAGCAAAATGGGGTCTTTCATCCTCAGCCAGAGCAAATGGCTGCGACACCTGATATTTCCTACATGGCAAGGCGAAGGGCTTGTCTGTCATCCTCAGTTACTTCATCGGCCTCACAATAAATCTTTACTGGAATCTCCAAAATGTTACTTCTTGTGGGCAGATCTCTACTCTGCAACCCCGCTGTTCTGCTTCTGCTGGAAGCTTCGCATCGCAGTTTCTTTCTTTCAAAGGTTTTGTGCCCAGCATCCCCCGCCAGGGACTACCGAGCTCAACAAACTAAACAGTTCAATTGTATTTATGGTTTTCCTGGGAAGAAAGGAGTAACCATCAAACATCTGCATCAGCTGTGAATTTCACAATCAGCACATTCCTAGAACACGTTGGACGGTTTTTATGATAAAACTGTAGTGTCAGTGTGGATACAGTTCATAACAGTTGATCTATTTATGGAGATATATTTGTGTCAGCGACTCCACTCACACATTCACAGAACTGTATTGGCCTTGTGTTAAAGCACGGTGCTATGCATTGTTTAGGGGTACAGCTGAGGAGTTTTACAAACCTAACGTCTCGGCGTGCAGTTTAAATGAACGATAAACGGCATGTTTGGCCTAGTTTAGCACAACTCAAGCACGTGTGTGAGTTCAGAGACAATTACTAATGCTGAGGTTTTAGTACTTTTAATGTAAGCATATGGTTAACAAATTGGCTAAAGTCAACCAGTTCAACCATTATCACCCATACTGGCTTTAGATCGTGACCGCTCTTGCTTATCTGAAAGCGGGTTGACATGAGGTCCGACATGTTGGACACAAGAGACACAAGATTGGATGAAAGAAAGAACAGAGATGGTTGAGGTCGGAGGAAGACCTGTACTTTCCCTCAGATTGTGATGTGGCAGCTGCTGTACGTTCGAAATGCATTAGTGCTAATAGCGGTGCCATTAGGGGAGAGAGAGGGGCACCGTTGATGGGTTGCCATGATGAAACCAGGGAGAGGGGGTGACAAAGAGAGGCACGGAGCGAGAGAGAGGTGTAAGTGAGAAAGCAAGTGACGGGAGGAAGAAGGCATAAGAGACAGAGAAAAGGGGAAACAGAGATGGAACCATCTTCCAGGCCATTTACTGCAATCATCACTCTCTAATCAATCAAGCCTTTCATCATAGGACAACACAATCTCTCCTTTTCTTTCTCTTCTTCTCGCTCTGCCTCTTTCGCTCTTCATCTC